TGATCCTCCAACCACAAAACCACCTACTGCTCGTAAATTCATCTGGGCGAACCATAAATTCAACGTGAGTGGCTCTCCAGAACAATATGCACCTTATTCCACCACTAGGAAGAAGATTCAGGAATGGGTCCCACCTTCAACACCTTACAAGTAAAGACCATGGAAAAGAGTTTAAACATGTAAAATATGGGGCTTTTCTTGGAATTGCACTTTATTGCTTACTATTAACTTGATTAAAATTGTTTAATTAAAAAAAAAAGAATAAACGAGAAAGAAATGACCGGAGGACTGATGACCTGTGAAAGAGGCCGTGGCAGGGGACCAGGAAAGACCCAACAGGCCAGAACCAGGGATGCTGCTCCAGCAGGCTGAACAGCACGGCAACATCGCAAGAAATGGCCAGTAAAAACCACAGACGGGACTGGTCTGTAGTCCGAGCCTCTGCAACAAACTACAGGCAGGGAGCCCAGGCAACAGGCGGGGTAGGGGTCCTCACCACCCACCATCACCTAATGGGCTAACTGCACTTTGGGGAGCCTCCGACCCTCGGCCTGTCTCATATGCCTTGAAGGCTGCCGACAGCACCACATTTTGGACTCGCCTGTGTGAGAAACTAAGGCACCAGGGAGGCTCCTGGGTACCCCTGAATCCACGCCTCTCTGTCTCTCAGGCTCTGATAGCTTCTCTTCTGATTCATTCATATCACAACTTGAAGACTTTCAAGACACTTTGTGCAAAAACACTTTCGAATCGCATTTATTTAAGCCAAAGACAAGAAAAGTTACAGACTGTGGTGCAAGTTACCAGCTGTCCGTGCAACCCCTGTGCATCCAACAACTACCGGTGCACCGAATGCAAGTGAAATGGCAGCATGACTAAGCTCACCCACGAAACAGTGGCATTCAGGGCTCTAAGAACGCCAGTCCCAGCTGACCATCGTAATAATACCATTCTGTCTGTCATGCCACACTAGCGCCTGGTCTGCTGTATGCTATTCCCAAATACACGCACTCGCTCACATTTACATGCCTCTAACATGCAGTCGTCTCTGTCTGCAAATAAACGAGAGATGAAACGCTCATCAGCTCCTGGGCAGGACACTCAGGCCGACTCATACTCACCGTCTCACCTAGACTTCACAGCACCCTTGTAGGGCTGGCTCCTCTTCCTGTTTTATGCCTGACATCACAGGAGACAGGTAAGTTTGCCCGAGAGTCCTCACTGACGGCACAATGTGCTCACTATTAAAGAATGCCTGGAACCTTCCTTTCACATGGTGTTACCTCCGGGAATTACAGCCCTTTTCTGCTCTCACCAAGCCTTCAAAGTCAGGACAGCCACTACAGTAGTCACCTGGATCTCCTCACCAGAAAGGCTTCCTGAACTCAGCAATGACGACTTGCTCATTTCTCCCTCGTTTGCCACATCAGAGGTGCCTAGGGGCGTACCAGAGTTAAATGACTAGTCCTCTGGGTTACCCGGGACGGGACCTCTCTAACTTCTCCCGACACTGCACGGGGCTAGACCTGGCCTCCCCGCCTTCACCCTCGCCTTCACCCTGGGCAGTGCTGGCCTGTCTCGCCCCGCGCAGGGACAGCCCAAGGGCAAGCTCAGTACCACCCATCCTCGACCCCAGAGCCCAGCAAGACTAGAAGTGCTCGAAACTGATGACATGAAGAGGGACGTCCCCGAAACTCACTTGCTCAGCTAAAACGTACCAGGAGGAAAACTGTTCCTGCAGAAGGGCTTCGGGACAGCCAAGGGCGTTACGGCAGCCCCGGCGGCCCAGCCTG